CTCCCCACCCCCATCCAGGTGTGTGCATGTTTTCTCCCAGATTCCACAGATAAGTGGATGAAATCACAGGAAGTGACTCTGATCTCACTGATGTGGAGACAGAAAAAATACACATTTATATACTGGATGTACTCAGTACTCCTGAGTACACAAATGAAAGTACTCATGGTCTTCAGTTCTAATCCAGAGTAAAGGTTCTAATCTGCTGTGGAGTACTGGAGTACTGAAGCGTGTACTTGTACTGCAGTACTTCTGTCTCCACCCACACGGTCTACTCCCACTAACAGACTCAAACACACACCACTGATCATCCTGGTTATTCTTGAAGTGGGGGGGGGACTGGTGTCTGTAGTGTCTGTAGTGTCGTCAGTCATAAAGCAGACAAGGATGTGATCCAGTTACACCCGTCTGGATCACAGCCCACAGACGCCGACACTGGGCCCGGGTTCTGACCTCACGTCGACCCGTTTTCTCTCATTTCTCATCAACATCTGTGTTTCCATGGCAACATCTGCCCCCCCTCGACCCCCCTCCCCCCCAGGGGTGCAGCTGCTGTAGGCCCCATTACAGCCTCAAACTGAGGAGGGTCATAAATCCACAGCGTTCATCTGCAGGTGTGAATGAGGTGTGAATTCACACTGGACTCTTTATCCCTGAACTCAGCTGTGATGCAGCAGTGCCCTCTAGTGGAGACATCTCTCCATTAACAAAGATAAACCGTGACATGCAGTGAGCAGCTTTCTCATTCAGTCTGTTAATGCACTGACTGGACGGCCTCATGACGTCATCCACCACAGCAGGATTAAGATCTTTGGAAGGACCCCCCCCGCCCCCCCCGCGCAGGTAGAAAGTCAGGTGACTCCAGTCAGTGTGACTTGTCATGAAGTCAGTGAGGATGAGTGGTGCCAGTGGAGTCTGGATGATTGGTTTCCATGGTAACAGCTGATGGTCCACATAAAAGAGTGTGTCCTTCTACACACACATACACACAAACGTACAACAACCGTCTCAAAACAACATTCCACTTTATTAAACAGTTCCAGCTCCTGATGTACAGATAGCTGAGTACTGCCCCCTGCTGGATCCCTAAAAAGGTGGGAGTCACAGCCCTGAAGAGCCTGTCTGTCTCTCTGGGTACAGAGACACACTTCCTGCAGGGGGCAGAACATCCACAGTCTGCCACCGACAACTACCCTCAGCTCTGTTAGTGAAGTTCTCTTGAGCTCCCCCTGCTGACTGGCTGGAGCAGGGCCGCTGTGTGACCACAGTGACCACCGATGGACGCCACAGCAGTTCTGGCCGTGGTCCTGCATTTTGAGGCGGTCACTCTGGGTCGTGACCTCTCAGGCAGTGGAGCGAGCTGATTGGCTCAAATGTTAGTCACAGTTGTTCACCACAAAGACCAGCCAGACTCTGACCTCCACCACGGTCAGTCTGTTAGACACCTGATCAACAGACAACTGACAGGAAGTTGGACCAAAGACTGATGGATCCAGCAGGTCAACAAAACCAGTGATTATGTTTGTTTCCATGGCAACCACAGTACAGTGTGAGTGTGGTTCAAAGCACGACTGACATGTGGGTGGTTGGTCTGTGGAGACTCCTGGACTGGTCCACTTCAGTCCTGGACCTGAATACTGACTGTACTTCTGATGGTTCAGCTGCTCCTGTGACTTCATCCATGGCCACAAGAGGGCACCGTCAACACTGGCTAAAACTGAATCCTGCCACGGTGAACCATCTTTGAAGAACACAGGTAATACGGTGGTGCAGGGGTTAGAAGGCTGGCCTAATGTCAGCAGTTTGATTCCCTGCTGGTGGACGGCGTCAGAGAAGGTGAAGACACCAGAACCTTCTGTTCTCTGTCAGGTTCCTCACCTCAACAAACAGGAAACACGGGACGATGGAGCTGCTGCTCTTCACCGTCGGCTTCTCGTCCCCCGACATCCTGCGTCTGCCTGCGTCCCCTCCGTCCAACTCTCTGTCTTCTTGACCTGAGGAGAGAGCAGAGGTCAACGAGGAGGAAGAGGAACCAGACGAGAGAAGTCCAGATGGTTCTGGTCTGACTGGACAGAAGAATCAGATCAGTGAGCTGTCAGCAGACACAGAGACGGAGACGGAGACGAAGACGGAAACGGATGGGACCACACACACACACACACACACTGTGACAGAGAGATGTGGGAGAAAGACGTGGGTGAGGTGAAGTCACAAATGGGGGAGAGGAGAGAAGAGAGACGTGGACACACGTGCACGTACGTTGGAGAGTGTGTGTGTGTGTGTGTGTGTGTGTGTGTTAGGAAAACCATTACTCTGATCTCAACAACTAACTTTAATCCTAATCCTAATCCTAATCCTCACTTTGATTCTAACTAATTCTTGGAGTCAGAGAGGTTTGATGTTTGAATGCTTCAAGAAATCAAGTGGGAGAGAAGAGACCCATATGTCCTGTCTCCTGTCTCCTGTCTCCTGTCTCTGTGGTCCACAGTCCTCTCTGCTCTGGGACATATAACACACACACACACACACACACACACACTAATTAGACCGACCAGTTCCCATCATGCATGGGTTTTCCATCTTAATGAGCAGATGTTCATCATCTCAAGTAGTTCTTCAGTTCACACAACAACATGGAGCAGCAGCAGCAGCAGCAGCAGCAGCAGCAACAGCAGCAGTAACAGCAGCAGTAACAGTAACAGCAGTAACAGCAGCAGCAGCAGCAACAGCAGCAGTAACAGCAGCAGTAACAGCAGCAGCAGCAGCAACAGCAGCAGCAGCAGCAACAGCAGCAGTAACAGCAGCAGTAACAGCAGCAGTAACAGTAACAGCAGTAACAGCAGCAGCAGCAGTAACAGCAGCAGTAACAGCAGCAGCAGCAGCAGCAGTAACAGCAACAGCAGCAGTAACAGCAGCAGTAACAGCAGCAGTAACAGCAGTAACAGCAGTAACAGCAGCAGCAGCAGCAGCAGTAACAGTAACAGTGTTACAGTGTTACAGTGTTACAGTGTCACTAATTCACTGTTCAGACTCAGTGAAGAGAGAAAAACCATCAGAACAGATCACTGTACTTCAGTCCTTTGATGTACTGCTCCAGTGGAGTCTCTCTCTCTCTCTCTCTCTGTATCTCTTCCTCTCTCTCTCACCAAACCCAGTCAATCTGAAGTCAAATCTAAAGACAAACATTCAAATAAATCCACAGATTGTTCTGTTTGAGTTCACACACGTACAGTCACACACACACACCTACAGTCACACACACACCTACAGTCACACACACACCTACAGTCACACACACACCTACAGTCACACACACACCTACAGTCACACACACACCTACAGTCACACACACACCTACAGTCACACACACACCTACAGTCACACACACACCTACAGTCACACACACACCTACAGTCACACACACACCTACAGTCACACACACACCTACAGTCACACACACACCTACAGTCACACACACACCTACAGTCACACACACACCTACAGTCACACACACACCTACAGTCACACACACACCTACAGTCACACACACACCTACAGTCACACACACACCTACAGTCACACACACACCGGGGTCATCCCATTGTGTTTCCCTGTCTTCCTCCTCACCTCAGTACCTTGTTGCTCAGTGAGCTGCTGTTGTGGTGGAACCAGATTCCTATGCAGTGGCCATGTCAGATCAGATGGAGTGAAGATCTGCCTCCACCCTGCTGTCCCGCCTTGCTCCCCTCCTCTCTTCCTCTCTACTCCTTCTCCTCTCCCCTGCCGACTCCAGCAGCAGCAGCAGCAGCAGCAGCAGCAGCAGCAGCAGCGTTTCTCCAAATCCTGCGTCCAAACAGCAGCGATGATGATGGAGAAATGAAGAGACTGGAATCACCTCCTGTGGTCCCTTCACTCCAGAGAGGAGACACCGAGGAGAGGGAGAGTGTGAGCAGGAACATGTGGGTGAGGGAGTGAGAGTGTTTGAGCGTATGGAGGGAGGGAGAGAGAAGGAGAGAGAGAGAGAGAGAGAGAGGGAGAGAGAGGGAGGGGGCAGTAAAGAGAGCGAGAACATCTCATTTGTATTCAGAGCTGTTTTTTCCTCCTCTCTCCTCTTTGGTCCATCTGTGGACACAGAGAACATGAACCTGACCCTCATATGACAGAAGGATGGAGTGAAGCTGCTGCAGACAGAGGAGAAGAAGATGATGATGGAGCTCAGCTCCTCTCTGGAAGTGGGTCAATGACACACACACACACACACACACAGAGAGACAGAGAGACACAGACACACACACACACACACACACACACACACACACACACACAGACACCCACACAGGGACAGACAGACTCCTGGACCTGTGGACCCCCCAGTCCTGCTGGTGTTTGTCCTACAGAAGGTGACAGACAGTGAAGTGTTGTAGCTGAGAGCTGTGACATCGTTATGACAACCTGCTAACACTGGAG